TGTTAGCTGTTTAAAAATCAAAATGAAGGCTTGGCTTAAAATAAAAAAATCAGATGCTGTGATATATCTTTAGTCACTGTTCTGTCTTTTTTGTGAGTGACTGACCAACATTCTGGTGTTGGCGTTGTCTTTATTCTGCAATTATACCATCAGGTTTATCTTTGCTAATAATTGGAGTGGGGAGGAGGGGAGAGCAAGGCTTATGTGTGCTATGATGATTAAAACAAATTCCACTTCTGGCAAAGTGGAGATCTCCAGATAGTCGTCTAACAAAGTGATGACCTTATATTTATTTTGCTTTTTTTGGGGGGGTTGGTTTGTTTTCCCTTGTGTGGATGTAGTGAAATCTTAATGTCAGATAATAGTGAGTTGGGTCTTCTATTAATTCTTGAGACACTGAGGTTTTTGAAAGTGCCTTGAACCCTACCCCCACCACTTGAATATTGTTCACTCTTCATGAGGCTTTCCCCACAGTCATGAGACTTTCGGAGAAGATTGTTTCCTGATCCCAGAAGGTGTGATGTTAAAGATTAAAAAAAACCCAAACAACCACAAAATAAACAACCCCAAACAAACAAGCAAAAATATCTCACAAAACAAACAAAAAACCCAAATACTGTCTTGTAACAACATGAGAATTGGTGCTGTTGGAATTTGTTTGAATTCTAATAGGAAAATAGGAATATAATAGTGATAAAACAGGTATAGACAGAAGACAGTATAACTAGTATCTGAGTTGAACTGAGGAGCTACTATGAATTTTGTAGTGTCTTTGAAGATGAGAAACTATAGATCTATGGTTTCTACTAATTGCAGCGATAAGAGTGCTTGCAGACTACACCAAGTTGGGTGGGAGTGTTGATCTGCTCAAGGGTAGGAAGGCTCTACAGAGGGACCTGGACAGTCTGGATTGACGGGCTGAGGCCAACTGTATGAGATTCAACAAGGCCAAGTGCCGGGTCCTGCACTTCGGCCACAACAACCCCATGCAGCGCTACAGGCTTGGGGAAGAGTGGCTGGA